AATTTATTGCTTCAAAAAATTATAAACATTTCAAATGTATCCAAGATCGTAAACATCTTCAAAAACGCCAACCATTCTTGTCTTATAAGCATCTTTGGTTTTGTCAGAAGTGAAATTGAACAATTTTGTGTCAACTTCTTCGCCCTTGTCCATTGCTTCTTTCATATTTTCTGCCATTTGATCCATGTCTGGAATATCGTCAGCTTGGCTCGTAAAGAATGGAAGCACAATCATTGCCATTGACATCCCAAAACGTCCAAACTTCTTCAGTTGATCGAAGAAAGCTCTACGTGGAAACAATTTCGATGGATCTGATCCAAGTCTGATTAAAAATATTTGCCATAAATCATTAATTGATAAACCATGGACTTGACTTTAACGAACCTTGTCAAATAACTCGATAAACTGTGATAATAATCAGTTCACTGAATATTGCAAGAAAAAGTTTCATTTTAAAACTATTCGAGTCATGAGATTTAAGTCTTGGTCAGCACGAAGGAAATTCACCAAAAATCGGAAGCAAATCAAGCATTTGCAGAGACCAACATTGCCGGTATTTCCGAATTCTTTTCCTATTTTTAATTATTTTAATTTAAATTTTAAAACAATAATATAGGATGGGACAAAGTTGATAACATTCCCAGTACTTAGCACTGAAACTCAAGATCCAAACTCGTCAACGCCAACCACACAGAGTAGACCAAGAAGAGCTGAGTGGATAATGAATCCAAATGGAAAGTCTTTTGTTTGTATCTTACATGAATATGTTCAGCATGCTTGGAAGAAACAACCTTCGTATGAGTTTAAAGAGTTGGAAAATTCTGCGACTCCTTATTCAGCAACAGTTTCAATCAACAATCTTAAATATGGAACTGGTTATGGTAAGTTTCATAAATGATCGAGATTTGCAACTGTCATAACTTTTTCCTTTCATAAATAAATATCAAGGAACAAGCAAGAAACAAGCAAAAAGTGAAGCAGCTCGTGAAACTTTGGAAGTTTTAATTCCTGAAATGCGTGAGAAGATCAGTGGACTTGACAAGAATCAGGGAACGTCAGGAAATTCGGCGTCTATCAACAAACAATCATCTCAGGATCTTTCAGTTTTTGATGAGATTCGCATTGAAGATCCTCGTGTGCCTGAGTTTTGTCAGAAAACCACTGAGCCAAGCCCTCACAGCATCTTGTTGACTTGCCTTCAAAGAAATTACGGCTTTGGGAATATTCAAGTTAAGTATGAAGTCAATACAGCTAAACATAAGAAAAATGAGTTCACAATGACAGTCGGAAGTCACACGACCAAAGTTTACTGCAAGAACAAACGTGATGGGAAGCAGCGAGCAAGTCAAGCAATTCTTCAGGTAAATTGATAAAAATTTTATTAATTTATTTGACTTTTGGTTACAATTATTATTCTGTAATAAATAAGGTTCTTCATCCTCACATCAATACTTGGGGAAGTCTATTGAGACTTTATGGCAATCGCTCAGTTAAGAGTTTCAAGGAAAAGAAGCAAGAAGAACAAGAAATCACAGTTCTTCAAAATCAAGCCGTTCAAAACCAGCCAAACTATGCCATCTTAGAAAAACTTAAGACAGAAATGATCAAATTAAAGGAGATTAAAAACTCACAAGGAAATGAAAGTAAAATTAGTGAAATGTCTTCGCTTTCCTCAACAAATATCTCAACGATATCTAATCTTTATTAAGAAATTGTTTAATATTTCATTTTGGTTTAATAATAAACAAGCAAATTATAATTATGAAGAAAAAGTTTTCAGTTAAAGTCAACAGCAATCGAATAAAGTGAATAATTCAAATTCATTTATTTTTTCTTAAATTAAAATTATCATTTTAATGAGAAGGAATTTAGGAATTTAGCCAATGAATAAAATTCGACGAAGATGAAAATTAAAAAAAAATATGGCCAAACCTTATTTCTTTCTTTATCAGTCTCTTATTAATTTTAAAATGAACGTCTCAACAGCTTGAAAAATTATTTTAAAAACTCAATTACGAGGACGCAAAACTCTTTTTGGTGGCAAAACTCTTTTTGGTGCCACATCATCTTCAGAGTTGGGCGATCCAAGAATTTTTTGGATCGCCGATCCAGTTAAGCGATCCAAAATTTCAAAAGTGGATCGCCGATCCGATCCATGATC